CAAGATTGTGAGAGTGTACCCCTCCCCCCCCCCCCCCCCCCCCTTTCTCCCACTATAGTTTAATCAATAATTTATTCCTTCATTAAAATTTGATGTTAAAATTTTCTTGAAAGTCGTTAATAATTTTCTCTCTTATCTACTCCCAAGCTAAAATTATCTGATTTTGATTTTTTTTAAAATAGAAATTAAAATTGATGGCAAATGGCTAGCATCAATAGAGAAGATTATTGTAATGGTGATTGTAAAAATGAAGTCGATGCAAATGGAGGAGAAAATGATGAAAAAGCAGAAGAAAAGGAAAGTCACAAGTGTAAAAAAAATATTGTTAAAAAAATAAAGGAAAAATGGTCAAATATATTTCCGAACAATTTAAAATGAGTCAATTTTATTCTTTGTTATGTTTTGATTTAAAAATATATTCATCGCTATATTTTTTGCTCAAAATTTCCTCAAACTAGTAAAGTAGTTTAAAAATATTTTTCTTGTAAACGGATGCTCCAAAACAAAGAAAAATAGATCAATTTCGCCCTTCAATTATTTAAAATAGGGCAGTATTGTCCTCCAATTAAATTTTGGAACATGTGCACTTAATTGTAAAGACTAAAGTAAAAACTTATATCGGAGATTACTAGATTAACTTGACTATTTTAAATGGTAATTTTTATATAATGCCAATTTAATATTTTATATAGAATTTAGTTACTTGCATTAATTTTTACATTATTCTATTATTTCCTTCAACATTATTTTATTAGGCCTTAAACTCGACTAAAAGTTATAAGAATTAATATAATGTATCAAGGTATATTTGAATTTGATTCTTTTTATCATATTATTCTTAGAGTTAGTAAAATGAATCCATTATTATTAATGTAATAAAATAATTTTAAAATATTTATGTAAAAAAAAGTTGTGTGATTCATACCTAATGTATAAGGAAGCGGAAGAAAAAATTGTGTAATTATTTTTATTTTGTTAAAATGAGAAGTGATTAAACCACTTATTTTCTTGTATTTTTCACACATTGCCCCCTTCCAAAAAAAAATTAGAAGAACAAGGGCAAATTATCCTATTTTGGATTGTTCAAGAGTAAAATTGACCATATTTTTAAAATTTTGAAGCAATCGTTTGGTAAATGGATATTTCTTTCAACTATTAAAAAAGATGGAGGGTATTTTTATGCCATAAACATAATGATAATGATATTTTCACACAAAAACTATAACAAAGGACAAAATTGACTAATTTTAAATGATTAAAAATATGTTTGATAAATAACCTCATAAGTAAGGTAATAAAAGCGGTATTAATGTCCTTGTGAACAAATTTAAGAGATAACAAGACTAGCAAAATAAATTATCTTTTTTTAAAATCATGGTTAATTTAGTTCTTTATTATTTCAATACTCCTTCCGTCCTGTAATGTATTGGCTTATCACTTTTCATCTTGCACGACGCTTAAGAAATTATACATAGGAAGATAACTTTACTAATTCACTCCTTAAAAAAAAATCTTGAAAATTTACAAACAATTGTGAATACTCTCAAAAGGAATTAATTATAATGGTAATATAGAAAAAAAATTAATTAATATTTTTTTGATTTAGTAAAATGGACAACTAATGTAAGACGATTATTTGTAATATAATGATCAACTAATATGAGACGTATGAAGTATCTAATTAGGAAAAAATGCAGAGTTTTTTTTTTTTTGGTATATAAAAGAGGAAAGAAAATATAGTAAATACAACCACAACAAAGACAAAAATATCAAATATTAAATAAAGTATTTCCAAAAGTTACGTCAACTTTTTCTTACCTAACAAAAGCAATTAACTCTATACTTATAATATAAAAAAATATAATATAAGTAATTTAATATTCACTTTTGCCCCTAAATTTCCTCCATTATCCTAGTTATGCCCTTGAGTGAATAGGATTACAATTCCAAGAAGATCATTTTTAAACAAGATAAAGATTCACCTAATCAAATTTTGTTTGTTTTTACTGTATCACAATAAATTTATTTTATTTTATTTCCTTATATATATAATAACTAATAAAATCCAATTTTTATTTTTTTATTATTTTATAATAAAAGCCAAGGATTTTGCCTTTGTTTCTGCTTTTCTTTAAGCTTCAATTTTCTTGGATTTGTTGATCTACTTTGTCTGAAGTTGGAAGGTGTTGATCTTTGTTGTTGTTAAGCTCATTTGGGTCACTAATGAGTGGCTCATGGATGAAGAATTTCTATTGGAAAATTCTAGTGAAATGGTGAAGACAAAGTTTGATTGTATATAGAATTTTGTGAAGTGGGTTTTGTTTGATTTGTGTAGATTTGATATGGGTGGGTGTTTTCCTTGCTTTGGATCATCAAACAAGGAAACTGGAAAAGATGAGGTAAAAAAAGAGTCTTTCAAGGATGCTTCTTCTGCTGCTCAATCTATCCATTTAACTAAAGTTAATTCAGGTGTGAACTCTATTTATTTTTTCTGATGTTGGCTTTGGTTATGTTGAATTGAGTGTGGGTTTTCTGTTATAGACTTGATCTGAGTTTTTTGTGATGTTTTAGCTAAGGGGTTGTTACAGATTTGGTTGGTTCTTCATGAAATGAATTTGGTTCTTTTTATATGTTTTTTTCTTGTTTATTCTTTCAGTAATGCTGATGTAGATCTGTCACTTGTTCTAATTGTTTAAAAATTTGTTTTCCCTATTAAATTGTTTGAATTAGTCCGTAATATTGTATAATATGAGAAAATGGACTCTAATTGACACATTTGACTGCAAAAGTAGACATTTTTTCTTCCTTTTTAGGGTCTATCGGAAACCGCCTCTCTACCCCCAACACAAAGGAAGGGGTAATCCCTAGATGTAACTTCACTTGTGTGATTACACTGGGTATGTTGTTGTTCTAGTTGTGGGTGTGGGTGGGGGTGGTTGGGGGG